AAAAAAAAAAGGAAAAACGATTTCCAAAGTGCCTAAGTTCTGCGGTATTTTTCACACATAGCCAATTATGTGCAGCCAACACACTGCAGAAGACAGAATCGTGAACATTGAAGAATGAAGTAAGAAGTTTCCTGAGCAACACTAAGTGCTGATGCAACTGCTAATGGTATAACAAACTTTGTCCTAGATTTTTTTTTTCTTCTCTAACTTTTGAACAGCTGGAAAGCTATGGCAAGAAACTTCATTAAAGTTCAAAAGTACATTTTTTCTCATTTTTTTCCCAGTTTTTATTCTTTTCGCACAAACGCACACAAAAAACGTCAAGTAACAGACAGCTTTTGAGAAAAAAAAAATAAGAAACGATAAGCCTAATGATATATACACTGCAAAAAAACACCGTTTTGCAATTGTCTTATCCCGTACCATCACCCACACCACATCGGAACGGGATGTGGGTGCCTTAAAGCAGGGGCATCCACCAATCCAAATTAAAACCATTAAAACCCAGCAAAAATACCAACGAAGTTTGGTTTTCAAAACTTTTTTAATTGTTCTTTTTTTTCATCAACCAAAAACTGCTCCCACACCAAGTGCTTAAAACTGAAGCATAAGAAGACAGAGTTTTTATCTGGTCTTTTTTTTTTTTTTTTTTTTGATTCAGTATTCTTTAAATGAACATTGTTTTTTTTAATTTCAAAAAATTATCACATTTTTTCAAGAAGAAACAGGCAAAAACGCAACAGTACTATCAACAACAAAAGATACTTCCGAGAAGAAATATCAAACGTAAAATTGGACTTTATGGATGCCGACTAAATTTTTTGAAACAAACGGCAGTAGGTCGATTTCTTTTTACAGTTCATTACCTAGAGTCTTCTTTTGTGACACTGCAATTTTAGTTCCACTGAGCACGTCCGCCTAACAAAATGTTGTTTCTTCTTCAATATTTTATGAAAACAGTTTATTAAAAAAAAAGCAAAAAAAATTGAATAAAAAAACGATGTGCTTATTTTAAAACCAGTGATTATCCGTAATATAAGTAATACACAACCTGTAACAAGAAAAAAAAGAAAAAGAAAAAGAAACACGAGTATAGCTGTTAAAATATCTGCAAATTGTTGCTTCATAGCCATTAGTTTCACTAAACCTTCCAAAAACTATAGCAGATTCAGCAAACTATAAATCATAATAATGCTAAACGTTAATAATAGATGTTAATTTTTAAAGCACACTTATGATTCTTTAAAAATACATTACGTCGACTGACTGATCCGTATTACACCAAGAAACAAAACTGTGGCCGTTTGGGTTAGGTTAAGAAAACTGAGCTTAATCACTGACAGTTTGAGTAGGAAAAGCTGCCTGGCAATTAGCGGCAAACATAAAACTAACAAAACTGATAACTAATTTAAACAATTTTTCTGCACATTTTTATGAAAAATTTTTAAGAATTTTTGCCATCTATTTTCGTTTCTTTACAGTATACCGTTGTCGAGAATGCAAAATAAACAGATTGCGAGTTCAAAAATCGATCAAAAAGTGTTAAATTTCAGTAGACCAAATAGTTCAACAAACATCAGTGGCTGCAA